CCCAGTACAGCCCAGTACAGCCCACCACGACCCAGTTCTGCCCAGTACAGCCCAGTACACCCTGGTACAGTATGACCAGACCCAGTACAGCCCAGTACAAACCAGTACAATCCTATGTGACACAATCCAGTTCAGTACAGCCCAGTAGAACCCAGTAGGAGGATACAGTACAGCCCAGTATGATCCAATACAATACAGCCCAGTATGATCTAGTATGGCCCAGTATAGCCTCGTACAGCCCAGTATGACCCAGTACAGCCCAGTATGACCCAGTACAGCCCAGTACAAACCAGTACAATCCTATGTGACACAATCCAGTTCAGTACAGCCCAGTAGAACCCAGTAGGAGGATACAGTACAGCCCAGTATGATCCAATACAATACAGCCCAGTATGATCTAGTACGGCCCAGTATAGCCTCGTACAGCCCAGTATGACCCAGTACGGCCCAGTACAACACAGGCTGGAGGTACAGTCCAAACAGTCCCTCCGCACCCCCCCGTCCCTATCCCTGCCCCCTTCCTGTGTCCCTCCCGTCCCCATCCCAGTCCCAGAGCTGGACACAACCCCAGGGGTGCCCCAGGGTACCCCCCGGGTGTGCACCCCCCATTCCCCACACACCCCCCAAGGCACAGCCCCCTCGGAGGTGCCCCCTGCCCAACCTCCCCTCCCTCTCTGGGGGTCCCGGGGTGCCACAGCCCCATCCCTGCACTGGCCTTTATAGGCACCCCCAGCCCGGGGGGGCCCCAGCGCCCATAATCCCCCCCCTAAGCAGCTTCTGCTCATCCTTCCTGCCCCCCGAGGGTCCCACGGGTGGAGGGGGCGGGGGGACAGGAAGAAGCTGGGGGTCATCTGGGATTTGAGTCCCTAGCAGCACACCCCCAAAGTGACCCCCCCACCCAGGTACCCTCAGAGCAACCCCCCACCCAGGCACCCCCCAGTTTTTCACCCTCCAAGGTGAACATCCCCCTCAGTCAACTCCCCAAGCAGTGCCACCCCTTAACCCCTCCCAGCTCTCCCCACCTCACATGGGGACAATCACTGGGGGGTGACACTGGCAGGGGGGACATCCTGGGGTGCTGGGGAAGGCAGGGGGTGACCTCATGGGGAGGACCCCAAGTTCTTCCCAGGGCAGTCAGGGCCAGGCCATCCCAGGGGAGCAGGATCAAGGGTGAGGACCCCCAAGGACACCTGGACATCCTGGTGGGACTAGGACCAAGCTTGGGGGCACCTGGGGACACCTGGGCAAGCTGGGGGGAGCAGGATTGAGCTTGGGCATCCCTGGGGACCCTCCCCACACCCAGGTGTGTGGGGGGAGCTCTTCCGCCCCCCCAAATCCCCCCAGAGCCCCGGCAATCGGCTCGGCCTGGCTCAGGGGGCCGATTAGGTGCTGAGCCCGGCTTAGCCCCCCCTAATCCCCAAGTTTGGCCGAGCTGAGCCCTGATCCCCCCTAAGCGGCTTTAGGGGCGCAGGGTATATCAGGGGGGCGGTCGCTGCGCCCCCCCCACCGCCGCCATGGACGAGGAAGATTTCTACCTGTTCAAGAACCAGTCGGGGGTGGGGCCCTGGGATGGGCCCCAGTACCACCTGGCGCCCAAGTGGGCCTTCTACCTGCAGACCATCTTCATGGGGGTGGTGTTCCTGGTGGGCACCCCCCTGAACGCCATCGTCCTCATCGTCACCATCAAGTACAAGAAGCTGCGGCAGCCGCTCAACTACATCCTGGTGAACATCTCCGTCAGCGGCTTCATGTGCTGCATCTTCAGCGTCTTCACCGTCTTTGTCTCCAGCTCCCAGGGATACTTCATCTTCGGGAAGCACATGTGTGCCTTCGAGGGCTTTTCGGGGGCCACCGGAGGTACGGGAGGACCACGGGGGCACCGGGGGCTGGAGGTGATGGAGTGACCACCAGGGCTGCTGGGGCCGGAGGTGATGGAGTGACCACCGGGGCTGCTGGGGCCGGAGGTGATGGAGTGACCACCGGGGCTGCTGGGGCCAGAGATGACCACTATGATCTCCTGTGCTGTGGGAGTTGGGTTGATCACCATGGGCTGCTGGGTGCAAGACCTGGGGTGACCATCTGCACCTGTAGGAGTTGACCACTATAGTCTGGTGGGGCCGTAGGAGTTGTGGTGACCAGTGGGGGCCGGTGGAGCTGCAGGGAGGGGTGACCCCGCATTCTACTGGGCCTGTAGGAGTTGGGGTGACCCTGTGACCTGGGGGTGCTGTG